GATGCGGTTCGTGGAGGTTGGTGTCACAAAAGACTTTAAGGTGCCCTCCATCAATGGACTCATTGAAACACTTCGCAGGGGACTTCTTCTTGACCCACTTTCCTCCAGCGGCAACACTGAGACGGAGATCACGCTATCGCTGCCGAAGCGTGCGTGGGTTGAGCCTCTTCAGACTCTCTACGCCATCTTTGTGGATCCCGTCGTGGAGTTTCTTCGTGCCCTTGATCCGCTGTTCCTGAGCAAAAACGGTGTTATCACGATGATCCCGACGGAGCAGCTGTGGCTCGTGCCATTCAACGCACTCATTGCGCGGAACGGCAACTTTCTTATGGAGGATTTTGCGGTACAGCTTGCATTTTGTGCCACGCAATGCGCCTTCTCTGTGCTGAGTGCCAAACGTGTACTCCAGCGAGATCTGCAGCGTGACGTGGTGTTGGTGCAGCGTGATATTGACGCACCGGCGTTGCATCTGCTGTCGCATGTGGCATTTCCTTTCGACTCGCTGCGTTCCCGAAAGGAGGGGGATTTGATTGTCCGCACATTGGCGGAGAACAAGCGCAGTGTTCTTCACAGCACCCGCACGACAGACTCCGTCTGCGTCACCACAAGTTCCGAGACGCTCGTGGAGGACCTCGACGCATTCAGGGAGCTCCTGCCGAAGAGTCGCACGGTGTTTATCGCAACATCCACAACGAGTGCAACACGCAATGACGATAATAGTGCTGGTGCCATATGCATGGCGGTCTCACATGAGGAGATTGACCTGCTGCGCTCCTCTGAAATTTCACGAATGCGGCTGTTTGCGGAGCTTGTGGTGATTAGCAACACAAACATGTCCAACGCACGTGTTGTGGGAACACATGACGATGTTCAGGGGCTTATTCGTGGGTTTTTCTCCAGCGGTGTGCCTTGTGTCATTGTTGGGCAGTGGTGCACGCCCGATATGACTCCGTCGGAGCTTTTTTCAAAGTTTTTCCAGCTGCTCTCGGAGGCAAACAATAAGCCACGGAGATTCAGCTGTAGCCATGAGGTGGCCACGACAGCAACCGCCACGGCAAAAACAACAACATCGGACGCGGAGTTGAAGCATCCCGTGAGAGCAAACGATGAGGATGAAGTTGGCGGTCATGATGCGGCATGTTTGTATCGCCACAAAGCACTTCTTCTCGCGTGGGCTATTCGGGCACTGCTAGAGGATAATTTCTTCCGCTTTGCTCCTCGCACCTGGGCAGGATACTGCTGCGTCGGATACGGGTCGCATCAGTAGTGGCCGCTGCCGCACCCACCTGTGCTAACATCGCCGTCGGAGCAGCAGCAACAACATGGTGAATGAAGTGTGTACTTCTCTTGCATGTATATTTTAGCTTTGCCATGTGCAGTGCACATCCCGCTGCAATGTGTTTTTCCCTAGCGAACTGGCGCTGCTTGTTTTTTTTATTGTTTGTTTGTGTGTGTGTGTGTGTGCGTGTTGGGGGGGCACACCTGTTTTTAGGCCCATCTCGCTCATGTAGAATTGTTATATTTTTTTTCTTTGCGCAGATTTTGCCATTGTGCAGCAAAGAGCACATACACACACACATACACGACAAGCACATGTTTTCTCATTTAGTCTTTTTTTCCCCCTTTAGGGAACGTAAGTGCGGGGGGCACACACACTTGCGCCTCTGTCTCTCCCTTCTTCTCTGTGTGTGTGTGCGTGTGTGTCATTTCCCTCTTTGTCGCACATGCGCACTTCTCCTCTCACGCATCTGTTTTGCATCGGGGTTGAGGGAAAGCAGGGAGGGAGTGGCAGCGGAAGCACACAACAAATAACGCAACGCACAAGTAGAAGTAAAGAAGCACAGCCACTCACTCTTTTTTAAGGAACTGAACCCACAGCCGTAGACAAGGCAAAAAGAGAAGAAGGGAGGAGAGAGAACGACGATCATCACCGGATGGCGGATCATCAGGTACTGTTCTTTGGCTGCGTGGCGGTGACACTCACGGAGGTGCGCGTGAAGGATGCCGTGTTTCCCACGAAGATGCAGAACAACAACGGGGTAAACTTTTTTGTGCGGATGGCGATTCTACCGAAGGAAGGCAGCGAAACGGAAGAGCGAATGGGCGAATATGTTGACTCCTCCATGCACCCGTTGAAAAGCGCAGAGATGGCGGAGGAGCTACTCATCCCCGTCATGCTGGAGCGCGCCTTACCAGTCTCTGCCGTCGCAGGTGGCCTCAGCCTTTCCTATGAAACACCGAAGCAAAATAACGAGAAGGATCACATTGCTGATGATAATAGTGCTGCTGTGCGTGGTGACAACAGCCATGGAATGAGCGTGGAGCTGCATCTAGAGGTTGCGGTTGCGCGTGGGAACCTTCAGGCGACTATCGCACATCGTAAAGTGATTATTGAATCATTGCTTAATGTTGCAAATGAGAAGTGTGGTGTGGTGGCTGCACATGTCTCTGCTGCCGCGTTGCGCCAGTGCGCCGTGTGGGGGAAGGGATTTTCGTTGCCCACCACAGACAAGAGTTGCGTTTTAGAGGAAACCCATGAAGACGACGAGAACGACGATGATGGCGTGTGTTCGGGCATGGAAGTAGAGTTTATTGTGCGTGCCCTCGATATGTCTGAGCCGCTGCGTGTCATGCTCGCGGCTGAGTGTGAGGCTCGCAATCTTCTACATATGCCAAAACGCGAGATCCAGACGACATTTCTGCTTCCCGCTTTGCGGTTGCCGTACGGTGCGTTGCCTCTTTTTCTGCTCCACCAGCATTACCGCCGCTTCTACGAGCATTTCTTTAACAAGACGCTGAATCCTTCCGACCAAGTGGCCAAGCTGCTGTCTGTGGACGACGGGAATATCGGGGCTTGTCGTTGGTGTGCTCTGAGCGTTGTTGACATGCGTCGTACTATTCTTGGTGAGGAGGCTCTGGCTCCTTTGTTAGCGACACTTTATCACTGCCCGTCCCTCAGCTCGCTGGTGCTCGATCAGAATAGCCTGGGGGATTTCACCTGTTATTGGATCGCTGCTCTTTTCCACAAGCACCGCCTCCTGCGAGAGGTCTCGCTGTATCGCAACAACATCCACGAATGTGGCGCAGAGCAGCTCCTCCGCCTCACAAGAAGGAATAAAATTCTGACGCAGCTCAATGTTATTGGCAACCCGTGTTCTCCCCACATCTTGGAGCGCATTCAGCGGGTGACAGAGGTGAATCAAGCGGCACTGAAAAAGGACCCTTTCAATGTTATTTCCACGCTATACGACTACGCTGTCTCCCCCAACTCCTTTTCGCCGGATATTGTCAAGAAGGCCCTCATCCTGTGGGCCATGTTGTCGAGCTCTTCTCTGAAAGCAGCTGACAGCACGTTGGAGAGCAAGCAACCATCACTTATTCCCCAATGTGCATTGGCCCCACTGTTGAATGAAGTCATGCGCACTGTGGCGTTGGAGATGTCTTTTTTGATACAGGATCATTTTATACGCATGGTGTTTGTCGACATTGAGACACACTGGAGGGCAACTCTCTCCCTACAAGATGAAGATGGAAAGCCGGCGCTCGAGGAAGACGATGGAGGGAGGGAAACGGGGCATGGCGAGTTGAGGGTCTGGGAAGGGAATGACGACGAGGGAGAGCATCTGTTCCCTCCCGTGGACGTGGAGGAGCTCTACAGCTACTCATTCCTGCGCGTGATTGTTGTGACCATGCGAAGTATGTTGCGAGAAGGAGACTGGGCTGAAAGCAAAACCGTATTGCAGGCTATTGGACGAAGTCAGCAAGCCATTGGTGTTACCCCAGAGGATTACCGCGCCGCTTTGAAGGTGTTCATTCGGGCCCTTACCATTGTATGCGGCGGAGAACACGCGGATGCGGAAAACTCCGCTGCTTTTCTCCAACTTCTTGCGCTAGGTGTAAGAACCACCCTGGGTGTATAGTGTCACGACTGTAATAATTGAAGCGACACGGGAAAGGAAGAATAGAGTGGCTGTATACATTCACATACAAATTTCCCTAGATAATTGCATGTATGTACGGGTGTACGGGTGCATAAAGACGATCCAGTGAGGAGGTGAAGTAGAATATCCAAAAAGAAACAGGGCCCATGCCATTTACTCCCCAGGAGTGGAGCATTGATATTCAGCACAGAGAAAGAGAGAGATTTTTGGAAAGGGGGAGTGACGGCTGGTGTGGGGATAAGTAGATCTTTTCTCACATGGTATGTAATTGTTATGCGGGTATCTATCTATCTATATATATATATATTAATTCCCTCCGCATGTGTGCGTGCGGAAGAGGTTGAAAATTGTGGAGAACGCTCAGACGTGTTTGTCTCCTTTTGTTTTATCGGCTTCATGCACATGCACACTCACTCACACGCTCTCCTTCCCTCCCATTGTAAGAGATGAAGACATGTTTGGCGCTTTTTTTTTTTCTTTCTTTCTTTTTCTTTTAGTGCCGGTGAATTGAAGGCCGTGAGTGCCCCCTGGTAAAGTGATATCACTGCATATATTTTTATCAAAGAAGTTAGTAATAAACAAGGGTTCCGTGCGACATATCGAGGAGGGAAAAGGAGGAAAAAAAAAAGAAAAACAGAGTGACACAAATAGAAAAACACCGAAAATATCTCTACATACATACATACATACATACATACAGGAGAAAAAAAAAAATGCGAAATGAGGAGGGAGAGGGAGACAGTGAAAAAATAATTAAAGCGAGAAATAAAATGGATTCTCGTGTCGTTCGGCTGGAGCCATACGAGTATGTTCACATACTTGACAACAACACATGCAAGGTGACGCTTTTGGAAGGGCCGTGCTGCATTACATTGCTCGACCATCTTGTCAACCTTCATAAGAATGCGCAGCAGCACATTGTCATTCCACCCAATCACTACTGCGAGGTGCGGAATCCGGTTGTACTGTCGCCAGATGGCGGGGAGCCTACATACCGGATGGGGCACCGTGAGGTGCGACTGTCGCAACCTCCATTCCCGTTATATCCCGGTGAGTTAGCATCTGATTTGAAACCAATGCGCATTCTTACTTCCAAAGAGGCCATTATTGTACGGGCGTTGGAAGATCACACAACCACAGAGGAATTCACGGGGAAGACGGTGCAACGCATTGCTGGGGAACAGTGGCTGGTGAAGGGGCCTGGTGCGTACGTCCCGCGTGTCGATGAGGAAGTGCTTCGAAGAGTGGTGCCACTCCTTCTTTCGGCAAATGAATACATTCAGTTGTGTGCCATGGCGGACTTTAAGGAACCAGACGGTACAGCACGACGTGTTGGCGAGAAATGGAATTTATTGACGCAAGGCGTTTTTTTTCCGGGGCCGTACACAAAACAAGAACCTGTTAAGAAGGGTATCACGCTTTCACCGACCTTGGCGCTCCATGTGCGGGCAGTGCATTCTTTTTACGACACACGCTTTGGAATCCAACGTTGCCTAGGGGACCGTTGGCTTGTGACGCATGATGAAGTGGCTTTATTCCTGCCAACTGAGGACGAGGATCCTGAGACGACCGTCCCTCTCACGATCGTCGGGCAACAGCAGTACTGTATCCTATTAAGAACCGTGCAGGATGGTGTTGTTCATGACGGTAAAAGGAAACTTCTTAAGGGGCCATGTTCCTTCTTTTTGAAACCCGGGGAAAGTTTGCAGGACAACGAGGTGAAGGATGCGTATCTCATTGGGGATCATGAGGCTCTCCTTGTGGAGGCGGTAAGCAGTTTTGCGGAGGAGGACGATACATGGCGGGAGGTGTCATCCCGTTGGTTGGTGTCCGGGCCGTGCAGCTATATTCCACCCTTGGATGTTTGCGTCTTGGAGCGGCGAGAAAGATTGTTGCTTACTGGCAGTCAAGGCGTTTATGTGCGTAACGTGCGTACTGGCATGGTGAGGGCGGTACATGGCCAGGCGATAATGCTTGCTGCGGATGAAATACTGTGGGAAAAGCCGATCAGTCCTCTTGTGCATCGTCTTCTTCAAGCGGACACATTCTCTGTGTACGACGCCGGTGCACTAAAATCGGCTTCTGAAAAGGAGCCATATGCATCCCACAAGGTTGTCTTCTACAAGGTCCCACACAATGCCCTGGTGCGACTGTATGATTCCAGCACGAATACCAGTCGTGTGGAGGAGGGACCCGCCGCGTTGTTTCTCGCCCCCAACGAGGAGTTTACACCCATCTCCCTTTCCGGGGGCCGCCCAAAGGCGTCCAATCGCATCCACTCACTATGTCTCTTTTTGGGACCCGATTTTATGGCGGATGTGATTGAAGTCGAGACGCTCGATCACGCCCGACTGATGCTTCATCTTGCGTACAATTGGGAATTTGACACAACTGACATGGAGCGCATCAAGAAAATTGCTTTTGAACTGCCTGATTTTGTTGGTAAGGCTTGCAATACGCTTGCGAACCGCATCCGTGCTGCAATCGCCTCTGAGTCCTTTGAGGAGTTCCACCGCAACTCCTCTTCTTTGATTCGGCAGGCCATCTTTCGCTCTTACTTGGGGACGACGGAGATGCGGGAGGACGGCCTGTACTTCCCCGTCAATGGTCTCCTCATCACAAATGTGGATGTACAGAGTGTGGAGCCTGTCGAGCCGAATACACGCGACGCTCTAAAGAAGAGCGTGCAACTCGCCGTGGAAATTATCACCCAATCGCAGGAAAATGAGGCCTCCCATCAGGCAATGCTGTTGGAACAAGAGGCGAGAGGGACACTCGAGCTGCAAATCATGAAGGACAAGGCGTCGGAAGAGGCAGAACGTGTGACATTACTTCAGGTCACCGCGGAAAATACCGCCATTGAATTGAGCGGCTCCAGCAGGGCCCAAACTCTTGCAGAAAGTGAGGCACGGCTTGTCGAGCTGCAGGCCGAACTGGACGTAACGCCTAATCGCTGTCGTGCGCTTGAATTCATGACGGATGCAGAGTTGGATTTGCAGCGAGAACGCATGGAGATTGAGATTTCCCACCGTCGTGCCATGAATGACCTTGCGGTTCAGAAAGCAAAGGCACTGGCCGACATTGAAGCCACCAAAGTGGAGAAGATATTTTCCGCCTTAGGGAGAGGAACTGTCACGGCAATTGCACGGGCAGGTCCAGAGCTAAAGGCGAAGTTGCTGCAAGCACTGGGTCTTAAAGGATTCCTCGTCACGGATGGTACTTCTCCCATCAACCTGCTGGGCATGGCAAACTGTATGGTGCACGATCCAAGGGGGAAGCGGGCATAATATTTTATGTATAACTCTTTTTTTTTTTTTTGCGTGCGTTTTTCTTTGCCTTATGATATAGCTGTGGTTGCTTTTTGATATCATTTTTATTCTTGACTATTTTCTTTTGTTTTTATTTCATCTTTCCCTCTCGTGATGCATGCATGCGATGTGTACATGTGCACAAACACTGGCTGAAGGACAGGCAGACGGAAACAACACCGCGACTCCACTTCTCCTCACGCAGGTGTTTCGATGGCCGCGCCGCTGCGAGAGGTTGTGATTGGGACGCATGACAGTGCCAACAGTCATAATGACAACGGGGCATCGCTGATGATGCCGCCGTGGGACGACCACCTGCCAGAATTGCCAGAACTGGCGGAGGTGGAGGCGCATGTTGCATCGCTGTGGGCTCTTGTAACGAACGGCGGGGCGCTTATTGAGCCCACGCACCTTCAACTCATCGACACCATCGTGGACCGCCTCGACCAGGTGTACTACTGGGCGGTTGAAGAGGGCACAACGCTCCTCAGTGAACCAAGTCAGTTGGCGCAATGCAAGGTGCCACAACTCACAGTCTTGTGCATCAGAACAAAACGCCCGAGAATTGTGCTGGCCGCGCTCCGCATCATGCGTCATCTCCTGCGTCACGGACAGACGGGACCTCAACTGGTGGCTGCGGTGGCGGAGAAAAAAGAGGAGAAAAACATCTCTACTGCAAATGCAGATGATGAAGAACTGTTTGGAATGCTCGCCTCAGTCATGGAGCAGCATGCAGGACTGAGTGACTTGCAGGCAGAGGTCGCTGCTGTCGCGGCAGAGGCGGCGTTAATAGACATTGAAGGACTTTTGGAGAGTCCTGTTATCAGTCATGTACTTGCGGCGCTAGAAAGGCACGGAACAAGCACCGCCATGCAGAGAGAAGGAGTGTTGCTTTTTTCTACGCTTGTGGACATTCATCGAGGAGGTACACCACGTGAGAATGCGGCGAATGACGTTAGACCGACACCTGTGGCGATTCTCCTGTCTCATGTTGGCGTTGTGGTGCGTTTTGTCGTGAGTGTGGCAAAGGCACATGCCGGTAGTGTTGATGTGAAACGAAATGCTGTTCACTTTTTTCTTCGGTGTGCGTCATACCCGGAAAATCTAGACGTGCTTCTGCGAGAAGGTGTGTACCCTGTTCTTGTGGGCGCACTTCCTTCCGCCGTGCGAGTGCCTGAACTCTTTGCGGAGTTAACGGAAGCCATCGCGTACTTTATTCCTCTTTTAGATCCACTGCAGCAACGTAGTCTTGTTCTTGTGGTGCGTCGCGTGTTGCTTGAAACAACATCACCCATTTTAGTTTCACTCTGCGTGGCTCTTCTGGTGCGGATGTTACAGGTCGAGACAAGAAGAGGGGATCCCATGCCATGTCGAAGCATGCAGCCTGGGTTGTCGCAAGAAGCGGCCCTCAACTTATGCGTGCGGGGCGGTGAACGCACTCTCAGTGATACCATTCACTTGGGGGAGGGCGACATCCGCGTGTTTATGTCATCGAACTTCATCCCGCAGCTTTTGTGTTGTGCGGCTGACACCATTGGCGAGGACGACGCGATTTTGCGACGTGTGGTGGCAGAAGCCATTGAATTACTCTCCCCATATCGCTGGCGGTAGAGGCGAAGCGATTCTGTGTATTTGCGCGTGGAGAAGGAAAACCCAAAATTGGGAGTGGGTGAAGCGATGATGATGTCATTTGTAAGGAAGAAACCTGGGCAAAGAGAGGTGGGGTGGGGTAAGATGACGGTGACGTCTGATGCACGCCCCCCTGTGATTCATTTAAAGCCACGATGGGTACCGGGACGCGTAGACAAATATGCACTTGTGTGTCTTCTCCTGTTTTGTTTTGTTTTTCTTACTTGATGTGTGTGTGTGTGTGTGTTTTAGGGCGAGGCAGGATGTCACTTAGCGAGACGCAGCGCGAGCGATTCTCCCTGCAGTTCCTCATCTTCGACAAGGACTCTGACGGCCGCATCACGACGGAGCAGTTGGGGCCGCTGTTGCGCATTTGGGGCTTTTGCCCATCCGAGGCGGAGGTGCAGGCGACGGTGCGGCTCTTGGACCCGGACAACACAGGCGTTCTTACGAAGGCGCAGGCCTTTGACGCAGCCGAGTCCATGCTGAACCAGATGATAACCGAAGTGGATGTGCGGGAGGCCCTCCGGGTGCTCGACGCGGACGGCGACGGATTTCTTACCACCGCCGAACTGCGCCATGTTCTCTTGAATTTAGGCGTCCGGCTGTCGCTGGAGGAGGCGGACGAAGTCATTGCTGACGCCTACGCGGACGAGGACCAACAAGTCAACACGGATGATTTTGCCCGCATGCTTTTTTCAGATGCGAGTGAGGGAAAATTGGATATTTGAAGGAATTGGTAGAGACAGAGCGTGCCTCATTATGTGTGGGAAAGAGAGAGGGATTATGTTTGATGTACAAAAAAAAAAAATGCAGGAAGGGACAAAAGAAAAGAGGGTATGAGAGCAGGTTGTCGTCAACGAATGGCGCTGTCGCTTTTTTTTCTCTGCCATTCACGCCTTTGACTTTTCGTTCTCGTTTTTGTTTTCTTTTTTCTTTTAGATCTATGCTTTGCCGTTTTTTCTGTGGGAGACACACTGCCATTGCCGCCCGCTGTCACGGTGCAGTGCTTGACTGTGCCCGCCGCTGTGGCTCCTTCAATTACGCCGAGTACAATGACGGCGACCCGCTGCTGCTGCAGGAACAACTGACAGACAGCGAGGTGGAGATCCGGCGGGTGGTGCGAGAGTTCTGCAAGAAGACACTTCTTCCGCGCGTGACGGACGCCTACCGCAACGAACGTGAAGACCGTAAAATTTTTCGCGAGTTGGGTGCATTGGGTGTGCTAGGGCCAACCATCGAGGGGTACGGCTGCGCCGGCATCAGCTCCGTCGCCGCTGGTCTTATCTCGCGCGAGATTGAGGCAATTGACAGCGGCTACCGCTCGGCGTGGTCAGTGCAGTCCTCCCTCGTGATGCACCCCATCTATGCCTTTGGGAGTGATGCGCAGAAGCAGCGGTTTCTGCCGAAGTTGGCGACTGGTGAACTCATCGGCTGTTTTGGACTAACGGAGCCGAACGCGGGGTCGGACCCAATGTCAATGACGACGCGGGCGCGAAAGGTGGCGGGTGGTTACAGCCTTAGCGGATGCAAGACGTGGATCACCTCCGCACCGCTCGCCGACATTGCCGTCGTGTGGGCGAAGTTACACGACACAAATAAAATTGCGGGGTTTATCGTTGAGCGTGATTTCAAGGGGTTTGCCACGGAGCGGATTGAAGGCAAACTCTCGCTGCGCACCAGCTGTACTGGCATGATTGTACTCGACAACTGCATCGTGCCGGAGGAGAATGTGTTGCCACACGCCACCGGCTTGAAGGCTCCGTTTAATTGTCTTAGCAGCGCCCGGTACGGCATTGCGTGGGGGGTGGTTGGCGCGGCTGAGACATGTTTTAACATTGCGCGAGATTACAGTCTGGAACGCAAGCAGTTCGGCAAATCAATTGCGTCTATGCAGCTTGTGCAGGCAAAGTTGGCTGATGCAGTGACGGAGATAACGTTGGCGATGCAAAGTTGCCTACGTGCTGGGCGGTTGAAGGACGAGGGGAAGCTCTCGCATCAGGTGATATCAATGCTGAAGCGCAACAACACACGGAAGGCAATAGAAATTGCGCGGGCAATGCGAGACATTTTGGGTGGCAATGGCATTTCAGACGAGTACCACGTCATGCGGCACGTGTGCAATCTTGAAACAGTCTTGACATATGAAGGCACTTACGACATCCATGGACTTATTTTGGGACGCTCCATCACTGGCATGAGTGCCTTCTGAAAGGGCTTTATGCTATATTATTTTCTCTCTCTCCCTCTCTCTCTCTCTCTCTCTCTCTCTCTCTCTGTGTGTGTGTGTGCGTGGTGATTTGATTGTCATTTTGTTGGTGTTCTTCTTCACTTGTCTTCTTCTTTCGCTGTCGCAGTCGAGTCGGTCCACCACACACGAAGAAAGTTTTTTTAAAAAAGGATTTTAAAAAGGCCACGGTGGTGGCGCTGAGATGAGTGGTGACCGGCCGGTGCTCATCATTGACAATGGCGGCTACACGCTGAAGGCGCTTTACATTCCGGACCCAAGCAACACGGCATCGCAGCCGCCGCGGCAAGCGGTTGTGCCAAACTGCGTGGGCGCCGCGTCCTTTGCTGGTCGAGGCATCGTCGGCGAACAACTCTTCAAAATGCCACACTTTCACGGGTTTATGCTGCGCCGCCCCGTTGACCGCGGCTTTGTTGTGGATGCAACGCTGCAGAGTTATATCTGGGAGTACCTGCTGCAGTACCTTGCCATCGCGGATGAGAGTGACGTGGAACTCGTGCTCACCGTCCCCTTCGCAGCACCAAAGCAGGTGGGGGAGCTGCTGCACTATTTGGTTGCGCAGCGCTTTAAATTTCGAGCACTGACACTCGTGAGCGCCACGTTCCTTGCCCTGGTGGCCGACGCCTCCCGAGACTGGCTGCACCGCAACGTACATGAAAGCTGCCGTGAGGATGACGGGGCCGGTGGTGGCTGCGGGATGGTGGTGGACTTTGGCTTCTCCGCCACAACTGTGGTTCCTTATGTCGACTTCCTCCCTATACGAGAATCCGCCGTGCGGGTTGACGTTGGTGGCAAACTTCTCTCGAATCGCCTGAAGGAGCTTATCTCTTTCACGCAAGTAAACATGACCGAAGACGGGTGGCTTGTCAACCACATCATGGAAAGGTGTTGCCACGTAGCGCTGCAGCCGAAAGAATCCTTGCGAGCAGCTCAGCGGCAAAAGCAGCGGGGTAAAAGCAGCAGCAGCAGTAGCATTAGTGATGGCGGTGGTGGTATTTGTTATGGCAATGGGAATGCGGCGGGGCTGCGATATTATTTGCCAACTATACCGCCCCTCATGCCGCTGGGGTGTCGTGAGGAAGAGATGCATGCGGTCCTTGGCGGCGATGGATCGGGGGTGGAACGGCATGAGCTGCAGCATCTTCACTTCCATCATGAGGCCTTTCTCATCCCGGAGCTTCTTTTTCACCCGGTGGGTGTTGGCATCCAACAGATGGGCGTCGTCGACGCGATTGTACGCGGTACGGGCAGCCGCGGGATGCTGCGTGATGCCCCCACTCTGCACGCCGCCCTGCTCCACCACATTGTTGTATTTGGCGGCACCGCAAATTTCCCACAACTGCGTGAGCGCCTTCAGGAGGAGCTGCGGAAGGAATTTGCCGCCTGTAGCACGTCGGTTTCCCTGCAGCCACCGGTGGAGCGACTCCGCATGGCGCCTCACGCCATCGATGTGGACGACACCGCCATCGGCTACTCCGCCCACGACAGCGAGCTGCAGCCGCTGTACGGGGCCCTGGCACTTTTTACGTGCCCCTCTCGTCAACCACAACTGCGGCTTTTGCGCAGCCGGTGCCATGTTGATTTAACAACTCTGCGAAAAAACAAAGCGGGCGTGGGACGCGCGCAAGCGTCGGTGGCGCTAAAAACACAAAAGACACTTTTGGATGCCATGCAGCATCTCCCATGACCACACGGACACCACCCCGTCCCTTCCGTTTTGTTATCCGTCACACGAAGCACGACGACAATAAGTGAAACATCATCGCAATTTTCATTGTTTTCTTTTTTGTTTTGTTTTGTTTTGTTTTGTTTTGTTTTGTTTTTTGTTGTTGTTGTTGTTGGAAGCAGTCAAATCTCTAATTTATACTTTTTTCCTTTTTTTCTTTTTTTTTTTTTTTTCCCTTTCATTATGGATCACAATTGTCATTAACGCCCTAAGATTACGACAGAATTAAAGGAAAAAACATTTCAAAATAAAATTCCAAGAAAAACAATTATAAAACTGTAATTTACCAGCCATGTCCGCTCGCCTGAACAACCTGCTGCAGCACATTGCTGTGAAAGACAAAGACAGCGACACAATGCGACACCTGAAGCAGCGCATGGCGCTGGCGTCCCTCGCGAACCAGTTCACGGTGGGCAAGGACCACCTCAAGCAGCTGATGTTGTACATGGTCCACGAGATGATTGAGGGACTGGAGGGCCGCGAGAGCACTTTGCGCATGCTGCCTTCTTACGTGTACAAAACCGATCCCAGCAAGGCGACAGGCGTCTTCTACGCGCTGGACCTCGGGGGCACGAACTTTCGAGTGCTGCGTGTGACGTGCAAGGAAGGAAGGGTGGCGGACCGTGTCGACGCCAAGTTTGTGATTCCGCAACAGGCACTGCAAGGAACGGCAGAGGATTTGTTTGGCTTTATTGCGAAGAGTGTGAAGAAAATGATGGAGCAGAAAGCACCGGAGGACTTGAACCGCACCGTGCCGCTTGGCTTCACGTTTAGCTTCCCAACAGAGCAGAAAGGCGTCGATAACGGTTTCCTGATAAAATGGACGAAGGGCTTCTCGACACGGGGTGTGGAGGGGAAGGACGTGGTGGAACTTCTGCAGAATGCATTGAAACGCATGGAAGTGAAGGTGAAAGTGGTGGCGCTCTGCAACGACACTGTCGGTACGCTTATCACGAACTACTTCTTTGACCCCGATACGCAGGTTGGCGTAATCATCGGCACCGGCTCCAACGCGTGCTACTTCGAGGATGCCTACGCCGTGACGAAGGAGCCCTCAGTGGCCGCACGCGGTACGACACAGACACCAATCAACATGGAGTGCGGGAACTTTGACTCCAAGTACAAGTTTGTGCTGCCGGTCACCGCCTACGACGAGGCGATGGATGCCGTTACGCCGAACCGCAACTACCAGACGCAAGAGAAGATGGTCTCCGGCATGTATCTTGGGGAAATCAGTCGCCGCATGATAGCGCACCTTGCCGAGTTGCGTTGCCTGCCAAGCGCTCTTGCATCCAAGATGGCCAAGCCGTGGAGCTTTGAGACGAAATTTATGGGCATGATATCCGCGGACCGCATGCCGGGTCTGCAGTTCACGCGCCAAGTGCTCCAAGAGCTTTTCCATGTCGACGTGACGGATGTTGCAGACCTGCACGTGATCCGTGATGTGTGCTGCCTGGTGCGCGGCCGCGCTGCGCAGATCAGTGCCATGTTCTGCAGTGCGCCACTTGTGAAGACAAGGAAAGAGGGCCGTGCGACGGTCGCGATCGATGGCTCCGTGTTTGAGAAGACACCGTCATTCCGCCGCCTGCTGCAGCAAAACATGAACGCCATTCTCGGTCCTGGGTGCGATGTCACGACGGCACTCGCAAGGGACGGCAGCGGCATTGGCGCCGCTTTTATCTCCGCGCTGGTTGTGAACGACAAATAAGGAATAAATGTAAATAGGTACGAGGTTTTTTTCTATATATATATTGGACTTTTTTTTGTTTTTTATGGGTGAAAACGAATTTTTTATGGTTGTTAACAGGTTTTTATTATTATTATTGTTGTTTTTGTTTTTATGTGCAGGTGTCTGGGGGATTATCTCGCGTTAATTTTTACGTGGCTGCCTGTGCGTTAGTCACGCCTAGGGGAATGTGAGGGTTATAGGGCGCAATAAAGGTGTTGAGGCATTTATAAAACCGTTTTTTGTTGTTTTTTTGTTTTTTTTAATTTATTTATTTATTTCTAAGATGTTGTGGAAAAGGATTTTTTTTTTTCACTTTTTTTTAGATATTTTTTGGGCAGATTGTGGTGTATTTATTGCAATGCCGTTTGCTTACTTTGAGGGTGCTGTGGTTTTGTGATGTTTCCCGCATGTTTTGTTTTGTTTTTTTCCTTTTTTTTTTTCGTTTGTTTGAATGCCGCTCTTGTGATTGATGTCTGCTGCGGGGCGGCCCTTTTTGTGAAGATCCATGCGTCGTTTGTTGCGGTCCGTGCTGTGCCGCGTGACGCCGTGGCGGCTCTCACCAGTGTTGTGCGCGCCCGTTCATCAGGTGCATCACACGTCGTCTGTTGTGGGCAACTCATCGCCTCTTGCCCATGTGATGGAATTGATGGAGGCGAAAAACTACGACGGTGTGGTGCAATTCTATGAGGCCTCGTACCGCGCTGACCGCATGTCGCTGCAGGAATTTTCTGGCGGTGCCTTTCAGGCGCGGGACATGGCGGTGTGTTTGATGCGTACTTTTACGGCGTTGGGTCGCATGGACCGAGTGCGTGAGGTCTTTGCCGCCGGGCTGCGAGATCTTGCGGGAAATGGGCAAGGAAAAGACAGTGGCCGTACCGTGTCACTCCTGAATGCGAATTTTTTTAACGCCTATTTGGAGGTGCTGACGCAGCGGAAGAACTTTGCGAGTGAGGAGGTGCTGTATGTCTTGAAGGAGATGAAAGCAGCGAATGTCGTCCCTGACGCGCTGACGTACCATTATCTCATTGAACTGCACATCCGCATGGGCGTAGACCCTGTCGGTTTGTGGAACGACATGCGCCGGGGCTTGGAGTTGCAGCCGCTGCCATGTACTGTCCAGGCACTCCTGCTGCAAGTTGTCCCTTCGTCGCCGGATGCGTCCTTTGTGGTGGATGTCACGCGCGAGGCACTTCGTCATGGAGGCAACGTGCTGGACAAGCGGCTGCTTGCAGGGCTGATGGAACAGTGGCTCCATAACGCGCAGGAGTACCCGCCGGAGTACGTCCTTTGGCTGATGTTTGAACTGGAAATTCGCTGCGTTCTCGACAAGGCCTCTTTTGTGCAGTTTGTTCAGAAACAACATGTGGCGGAACTGCTGCAGCGCTGTGCAAAGTGCGCAGACGCCGTCACCGCTGGAAAAGCCCTCGCTCTGATGGATCGGCATGTCATGACCAAAACTGCCGATGTTCTCAGCCTTGTCGTGTGGTGTTGGGCTCAGGCGTTGGAGCTAGAAAAGGCGTTTGATTTGTTAGAGCTGATGGCCAGAAAAGGGCATTTGGAGCTGACAGATCCATTTAAAAAGTACACCGTGGATTGTCTGCGGCAAGTGATGGACCGTCACTTCATGATGGCGCTGGCGGACGCTATAAGCACCACTGCACTACTAGACCGTGTGCTGCGTCATTTGCGCGAGCGACGCCGTCGTGGGCAGATTGTCTCTGCTCACTCCTTGGATCTTGTCGTGCTTGCCGCTGCAAAGTTGGGCGAGGACCGGCGTGCGATGTTGCTTGTCTCCGAATACATTGCCGATTGGGGCATTCAGCCACGCACGAACACGTACAACTGTCTGTTGGTCGGACTCTCGTCGCGACGTGGGGCGTCACTGCAGCGCACTATTTACGACGCCATGTTGGAGAACGGCGTCATGCCAAATGCCTTTACATTCCGTGTGCTTATCCGACAGGCAGTTCTTGCTGATAATATCGATGAGGCGATTGAGTTCCTGCAACGGGTGACATCACACGTGGGACTGCGAGTGGAAGTAGAAATGGTGCTCCCAATATTGGAGCGTGCCGCACGCGCCGGTGACGCGGAGACGGTGAATCGCGTGAGCAAATTTGCACTCGAATGTGACATTGGTATTGACAGCGTCGTGTTGAATGGCGTCATAAAAATGCTTACAGAGGCGGGGCAGGACGTGGAGGTGATCAAAGGGCACCAGCCGCTGCATGATGCACTCCGCTCACGCTCCAAGACGGGGCGGCAGCGACCTAGAAGCGAGATTGCTGCCTAACGGGTGTGTATGCACCAACCTTCCCCCTCTTTTTTTTTTTTTTTTTGTGTGTGGAGGGGGATGGACCTTCCCAAAAAAAAAAAAAAGGGAACAGAAGGAGGGCTGAGGGGTGTCGCGTGATGTGCAGTGCGCCTCCACGTCTTTCTTTTTCTGTTACATGTTCTCTTTGCTGTTGGTGCCACTGTTGTTGTTTTCCACGCCTCTCCCGTGTTTCGGCGGGGCGCTGCGGCTGCCTCATTTTCTTTGTTTTTGAGTTGTCGATGGAAGTCGTTCCCTTTTTTTCTTGTCTGTGTGCTTGAGAGGAGTGCCACCGGCACACATATCCGTGCGTTCTGTTTGTTGTTGTTATTGTTGTTCTTGCTCACAGAAACCATTGCGGGAGTGCAAATACAGGAAAAAAGAAAGGAAAAGAAGAGAAAAGAAAAGGGAGGGAGGGGGGGTGGGAAGAGTCGTCACGCACGTCCAATCATCAAAATATACAAAACACGTTGATAAAAATTAGCCACAGGGAGCACGAGGAAGTTATATACATACATATATATACATATATATTTTGACACATGCAAGAAATGCGTGTGAACGATATTGTGAAGGGACGGTACTCCACCTACCAGCTGCAGGACCTTATCGGCAAGGGTGGCAACGCGGTGGTGTATAGCGCCATTGATCGGAGTACGGGGCTTGTAGTGGCTGTTAAAAAAATTATGGCCTCGGATGACACGGTGATGGCAACGTGGCGTAAGGAGGTTGCAATCATCAGTTCTCTCGAGAACCCGTACATTATCCGCTACATTGATCACGCCCGCTCTGGCAATGCTTTCCTTATCGTCACTGAGTACGCCCAGGGGGGTTCTCTGTTTCAGCAACTGAAGCGGAATGGGCGTTTTAGCGAACGGGAAGTGGCGCGTTTTATGTTCCAAATTACCGCTGGA